CTCTCTCTCTCTCTCTCGCTCTCTTTTCTCGTTTTACGTATATTATCAGTAAAATGATACGTGTCATCATTAAAAAGCTGACTTATTGCTTTACCCGCATTGCATTTCTGATTTATGTAGAAGAAACTTTTTCCTTTTACATTTACTCGTTACACTTAGTTATCGGACAATCCTCCGATCGTGAAAAAACTCTACGCCGATGATATTCGTCGTATCATTGGGTTAGAATACAATGTCGACGAACTAAAGGATTTACGGAAGCAAGTATCGATTCTTGGAACACGTTACGAATACCCCTCGACTGTTACGATCGTACAGTAAATATCGAGAATATTGGTATAATATGTAGATCTAAACGCATACGTGGCTTACTACGTTTAATATCGTTCGTAAATCAAAATAGGCCATTGTTTTCCTTCATCGAATGACCTTACTATCGTACTCCGTACTATCCCTTTATACATACATTACGTTTTTCTTTTACGATATTACGATCGGTTAGTATAAAGCTTATTACTCTGCTCTACATGATATTTTCTTTCTTTTCTTTTTTTTTTTTCTTTCGTTTATTCTTTTCGTTTATTATATATTTTTCCTTTTTTCTTTGTACGATGTACTAAGAACGCAGAAAAATACTCCTAGAAAAAGAAGAAAAAGAAGAAGAAGAAGATTAGGTAATGTTTTTCGTATCTGCGAAGATTATTTCCTATATGTATATATATATGTATGTTTGTGTGTGTTCAATCCTATATTACTCGAGCGAAGCGAATAAGAGTTGAAACGAATGAGAGACATAATTTTTTCCTACTTCTTTCTTCTTCTTCTTCTTCTGCTTTTCTTTTTCTTTTCTTATTCGTTCATTTTTCTCTTTCCTTTCTTTTTTTTAATTTTTTTCTTCAACTCAAAAAAGTTTTAATAGATCCATCTAAGTGCTCTATCTATCTAAACTATCTATGTACATGCATATGCATTTCTCATTTTGATTCGATGCAATCGTACAAATTCGATAAGTTTGCAAATATATTTTGCGAGATTATATAATCTAATAGAAATGTCTGGTGTAATAATGTAAGTAATTTTAGATGGCCAACGAAGTATATATATAAGATCGTATATAGGAGAAACGAGTGGAGTTTAATCGGATCTCTCTCTCTCTCTCTCTCTCTCTCTCTCTCTCTCTCTCTCTCTGGGTAGTTGAACGTGCTGAAACGATACCTGCTTTCGTGTATGTAAAGACCGTTTAAGAAATTAATACTCAGGAGGCGCGAGCAAGTAATAATTACGTTTATTCTAGTTGTATATAGTATACGTAAGAGAGGATTCGAGATACGTAATTGGATTTAGGTCGTTTTGTCGAGTATTCAACTAATGAACGCATAATTAACGACGATTGCATAATTAATATTATAAATATTTCGCTAATGCAGTCGTGTTTACGTAATGGTACTCTGCTTTTGCCGACTGGTTTCGTTGGTTATTGCCTTCGGCCGTTTAGAGTTGAAACGTGCGCGATTAGAGACGATGTGGCGGACGTGAACGTGAACGTGCAGAGAGGTGCATTGAGGTGCATAAGAGTGCATAAGAGCCGCATAAAGAAGGAACAAGCGCCATTTCACACATTATATTTGAGATCTGCCCCACCTTCGGCCAACTCAAACGGCGGGGGGAGGGGGGGACATATCTCTCTACCGCATTGCAAATCACTTTCATAGTCCTGTTTTTATGACCGAAAGTTATAATTTACGGTCCACCCGATTGGCGTAACTCACCGCACGCAGAAGGATTACACGCTTACCGTGGACGCTTATATGGAAAATCGCTTTTACCAGAACGCACCGAGTTCTCGAGCCCTAATCCATTAACGACCTCTCGCTGCGCCGCCGTGGGAAAGAAGGAGAAAGAAACGGTGGGTGGGGGGGGGGGGGGTAGGGAGAGAGGGTCAGGGTGGGGTGGGTGAGGGGGAAAAGAAAGAGAGAAAAAGATATATATGTACATATATACGAGAGAGAGAGAGAGAAATCTCTTTTCTCGTATTTGCCTCTTTTACGCTTACAATTAACGCGTAAGATTGCAAGGATTTAAGCGATATCTTTAATTCGTCTTTATATCGAATTAACCAATCCCTATTTGTAAAATTAATCTCCTCGATGTTAAATGAAAAAAAAATTTTCTTACGATTTACGAAACTACGAAATCTTGTACTTTGTATGTATATACGTATGTATATATGTATGTACGTATGTATGTCTATCGAAATTTTCGTTTAATGCTTTTCAAAAGTTTATTCTTCTAGAGACAAATCTTTATTGGACAATGCAAACTTATATTTCTCGAATAAGAATACTTATATCTCTAGAATAAGAATGTTTCTGGATAGCAATCGAGTCCTATATTTCATTGATCATATATATATATATATATATACATCTATGATATAAATAGAATATGTACTATATCGACTTGCTTCCTTGCTTGCTATCGAATATCTCGGCATATTCGAGAGAACCGAAGTTCGTCGTCTTTCAAGAAGCCGAATCAATTTTCAACGTGCAATCTTGCGATATTACAGGAAAATAGGAGAAATCCCGTAGAGAAAGTAAAATACGAGCGTTGCAATATTATCGTCAAACGCAATATGTATAACGCAATATGTATGTAATAATAATAATAATAATAATAAGAATTACTCTCTACGTATTTTCACCCTTTGTTAGTGAAGCATTGAGATCATTTATATATTCATGGATTATTAAGTACACCTACGATATTAACAAACTCAATTAGACGGAGAAACGAATATGTATATATCCCTCTTCTCTTTTTTTCTTTTTTATTTTTAACAAAAAAATTTTCAAGAATATTTTCTATTTAGTAAATCTTCAATTTTCAATTCGACGTATCGCAATACGATCGTTATCGAATAAATAAAATTGTTAATCAATAAAGCGTAAATCTGTCTTTAGTTTTTCAATTCTTTCTTTTCTATCTTCACGATTTCTCTTCCGATTTAATGGTAATAACTACCGAGAATTTCTTACATGTGTATGTGGGTACGTAGATGTGACATTAACATACATCATAGTACCTCGCAAACGGGACATGTTTACGATAGTTGTTTTCTGCAGTTCAATAGCCTGATCATTTCCTATGAATTTATGTGTGTCACCGAAGTGACAGATTTTTTTTAAATATAGATTATTCACGAGACCTGTATGTGTATATATATATATATATATATATAGATGTAATTTATACAGCTAGTTTCGATATAGATAGAATACAAAAATAATAATCGAGATCGAACTTAACTTTTCTATTACTATACGAGACATAGGAACGTAATAAAAAGCATGTAGTACTAGCTCGTACGATAGGCTCGCAAAAATGACGCTTTTAAAACGTCGGAAGATCGATCGATATCTTGAGACGAGTCATACATCGTTGGGAACGTAGAAAACGAGGGAAATGTCGATTACGTCGTCGGCACGTTAAAGTTTCGCGTATCGATCGGTCGAAAGAAAGAAAGAAGAAAGACGCGTGGAGCGTGCGAGTGAATCTTTTATATAATCTCTCTTTCTCCCTCTCTCTCTCTCTCTCTCTCTATCTATCTTTCTGTCTGCCCGTCTGTCCGTCTGTCCGTCTGTCCGTCTGTCTGTCTGTCTGTCTGTCGTCTATCTATCTCTTTCTCTCTCATCGTTCTCTAGCAACATCAAGATCGTTCTCTTATCTTCTGAACGAAACAAGTTGTCAGCCCCCGAGGGATATCGCTCGTCGTATGTATGTATGAATGTACGTAAAGAAAGGAATAAATAAGAAATAATTCTCCCGAGATGACACTCGCGTACAGTTTGAAAAAAGAAACGCGCGAGAAATACACAGGCCGTAAAGTGTGCTTCTACTTTTCTCTATCATTTCCTTGACTTTTACCGCGTAAACATTTAAATAATTTATCGATTCGCGAATGGACGGACGGTTTTCAATTCCCTCGTGATCGGTTCATTATCACCGGACGTACGGGTGGTCCATGGAACGTTTCTCGAAAGCACACCATAGTCATCATAATACTTGCATTTTCTTCTTCTTTCTTTCATCTTCTTTCTTTTTCTTTTTCGTCTTCTTCTTCTTCTTCTTCTTTCACGTTGCGTCGTTGACGACGAGGACGATAAGAAGAAACGATGCAATTACTCTCTTTTATTTCTCTCTCTCTCTCTCTCTCTCTCTCTCTCCTCCTCCTCTTTCTCTCTTTTCTTTTACTCTCACGTTGCATTTTCTCTTTCGTTGCTTCATCCCTGAAGCTCATAGACTCCCGTAGAAACGGACATTTAACGTTCCCGTATGTCGAGAGCGCGTGTTCTCGCTCGTCACGCTAGAAAAGCGTAATTGTTTTAACGTTTTAATAACTGCACTCGCGTGCGCCTGATGCATTCGCAATAGCGACTGACACGTAACTGTCGTGGAATAAGGCGAAAGAGAAAGAGAGAAAGAGGAGGATTAATGTGTCCTGTGGTCTCAAAAGAGAATTATCTACGTTTTACCGGACTAAAGTAATTCTTTTACCGATTCTTTATATCTTTTCTTCTCATTGTAATAAAAAATTTTATTATTTATAATCTTAACGTTAGAAAATTTTTAAGCCAGCGATAATGTTATTAGCTATCTTGGCGATTATAATATATATTATCTTTTTTCATTCATCGATCATTCAATGTTCGTTTCATTTTAAATTATTAATTAAATGAATTGAAAATTCTTTTTATTTTTCTCCCTTTCTTTTAAATCGTTTGTAAATGTATTTATAGAAATCAGACGATATTAAATGTTAAAAGTTTGTCCCGCAAAGATTCGTCGTTCTTTCTTCGTTCTCGCTAATTTTCTTAGAAGAGCAATTTCATCTTACCAAGGAGGGCCATTACGATTGCTATAATAGCTCTCATCAGAGCTCACTGCCTATCACCTTTACCTTCGTCTTGTCTAATTACAGGTCACGTTTATTGTTTCAGGAGGAGAGCGAGCTCTCGAGCAAGCGGTGGGCTAGTGCGCCCCGCCGCCCGGACAGCCCCTGCGTCCTGGGGGCACCGACGTCTAGGGAGGTTAGCCTTTTTATCTTTTTTTTTTTTTTCATATCTTTTTTCAAACGTTTACTATATAATATTATTTTTATTTACATTGTAAATATCTTCAGACTGCATGGTTATTATCCCTTACATCGAGTGCGACTTTAAACAAATTTTTATATTTATTTTCAACGATTTATTCGATGCAATATCATTTGATTTATCAGCATAATTAGAAAATTAAAGAGTTTATTACAATATAATAAGTATAATGTTTTTAATACACACACACACACACACACACACACACACACATATATATATAAATGAAAGATATTATATTTCGAACATAAAATTAAGATAAAATTATTATAACATTGTAATAAGGCTCTTGAAAATTATAATTTTTATTTCTCCTTTGATACGTTATATAGTTTTATTGGTAAAATTCACAGTCTCAATTTGTTTACGATCATTTTAAGACTGAAGGGACCTTTGAGAAACGTTCGAGGTGGAAGGAGTAAACGAGTAAAAGTCGATCGGCCACCGCGAATGGAAACTCGCTCGATTCCACACGAGTACGTGATGGCACCCAAATCGTAAAGTCGAACACGTTAGTTCGACGCGTCGTACGTACATACATCGGGCTACTACTAATAGGGGATTAGCACGCTTAGCAAGAACCGCTGCGTGTCGGCACGTCGTCGCCGGAAAGACGATTAACGTCGACATTGCATCGAGGTGTCGATTTAGATACGTGATCCTTCGTTGATTCTCTTTTACGTTCGCCGCGATCTACTAGGGTTTACTTTTTACTAACTTCTTTGCCATTCGATCCTTCGTAGTATCAAGTTTTTATACAATTTCAAGTGAAATCTTGACATTGATTCTTACCGTTTGATAATTTTTTTTTCTTTCTTTTTTCGTTTTGTTTTGATATATTCATTCTTCCTCGACGCACGGCACCACTCGTATAATAATAGGGAGATATAATCGAAGATTAGGATCGATAAATCGTAATTCGAACGATTCGAATATGCAAGAGAGACGCGATGATGGTTAGTGGAAATTCATGGTCAATTTAACGATTTACTCGACAGCGTACACGTTATCTCTCTCTCTCTCTCTCTCTTTCTATAGATAGTTATACATACATACCATAGCAATTAGACAGCTTGATTTTAGCGATGGTAATAAAACCGTCGACGTAATTCTGTATGGTGAATTATCACCGATCGTTGGGTGGACGATTAGAGCTTTTGGTCGTTGTCGTATTTCGCGCGAACGTTTCCTTGGTAATATAACTCCGTAATACATTGTCAAAGACAGCCGACCATCGCGTACCATCTGTCGTTTCAACATCATCGTCTCTAGTAGTTGTTACTTCCTTGAACGTAAGAAATTGCAATTTCCATGGGCTGTCACCGATTGTAACGATTCGAATTACATATTCGTCTCGATCCTCTTATGCAAAAATCGATCAATATTCTTTAATATCAGGATCAAGTACGATTATAAAATTGTAAAATTACTAATCATTGGTGGAAGTCGGAGAATAATAAGATGGACGGAGAGAAAAAAAGGAAAAAGAATTCAGCAATGGCAGGTAAGAGCAAGTATATCATACAAAGGATTAATAATAATAGAGAAGGATGTTGAGAATGGCTACCCGGTAGGATAAGGACCGCAAAGCTATGGACACGCCATCTGGCATCTAGCCACGGACACAGGGCTTTAACGTCCCGTGCAAGCACGTTCTCTCGCATCAAGGTACGGTTCAATTCCGTTACGTGGACGTACCCGCGGGCTTCCCACGCCAATTAAACATGACTCATTAACGGGCAGAAGCCGGTAGCCGGGATCGATGCCTAGCTGCGAAGGAGAACCAAGCGCAACCCTTCTATAATTCTCCAGCGCAGAGGCAATCGGAACTAATCTCGACCATCCTCTTTCTCCTTCTTCGTTCGTTCGTTCGCTCGTTCGTTCGTTCGTTCGTTCGTTCGTTCGTTCTTCTTCGTTTTTCTTCGTTCTTCTCTTTCTCTCTCTCTCTCTCTCTTTCTCTCTCTCGCTTTCTTTCTCTCTCAGCTCCTCCGCAATGCGATATTACCGCGAGAGGTACCCAGTAACTGCGAGCGACGTGTACAGGCCACGATGTTCACGAGAGCAATATTTCTCGCGTCTTGCTAGCGTCCACGCTCGTGTGTAGGAAACCTCGGCAGAGCTTGTACCGCTTCTCTTGTTAAAACCGCTTAATGCATTTCGTTTCGCGATCGCGAAGCAAGTCTTTCGACGTCTAAATTTTACCTTAGGTAAGATTCTTTAGAGAATTGTTTCTACGATCGATCTTATTTTCGATATTTAATAATCTATAAAATCGATCGGATTTATCACGCAATGTCGCCGTATCAAACGATCTTAAGAAAGAACGATATCTCGCGAATAATTGTTGGAGATAATTCATCATGGTGAAATTAACGCGTTAAATTAAATATCTCGAAAAGAAAAAGAATGTTGGACAAACGATAAACAGACGATAGGCTTGATGGAATATCCATTAGTTGTTGGAACGTTTTTGCTTTTACCGCTTTTCACGAGTTACGAAGAAATCTCTGTCAACCGCGAATCTAACGGGACGTTAGTTTCTTCTAGAGCTACGGGCTGGCTAAACAATAGCGCTATCTCTCTTTACTCTATCGCGCATGGTCTATGCATGCGCACGATGTTGAGTTCCCTTCTTTGTTTTCTTTCTTAGACACTTTCGTTTAACTTTAGGAGAAAGAAGAAGAAGAAGAACAGGTAGTGCCGAAGAAAAATGAAAGAGAGAAAGAGAGAGAGAGAGAGAATAGGGTGGATGAGACGAAAAGGGTTAAATTATTGCTCAGAGAGATTTTGCGATTGCTTCCGATAGTCAAGTCGGGATTCCAACGTGGCTTCGTGATACTTAGCAGCTAACTCGTCGCCTACCTTTGGCAGCCATGGAATCTCTTCTCTTCTCTTCTCGTTTCTTCTCGTTTCTTTTATTTTCTTCTCTCTTCTCTCGGTATACGTGGTCGTAGCTAGTCGAGACGTAGACGTCTTTGCAGGTACGGGGGTGTCCGTTAAAGGCAGCCGTTTAGACAGACTGTGGGATCCCAAGCCAAAGGATAGACCGAACGTGTGTTCGTGCCGAGTGAGCCGAGATCTGGTCACTTAAGGGGATCGACACCAGAGTCCGAGCGTCAATGTCGAAATAACGAGTCTTCGCTTCGATTTCCTTATGTAAAATCATGAGACTGACGCCTCTTCACTGTCTTCACTATACTTTTCTTCTTCTTTTTTCTCTCTCTCTCTCTCTCTCTCTCTCTCTCCGTCTGTCTTTTTCTGTTCTTCTTTTTCCCTCTCTTTTTTTTTTCTTTTTATACATTTTCGAATGATTGAAACGTCGTATTTTTCTATCATCGATTTTTACAACTCTTTCCTATTCTATCTTCAAATACAAATATCTTGAAAATCCTCGAAAGAAACTTGGAACGATCACTGTCACGATCTAATGATAGCTAGGTATGTAGGTTGAAACTGGGACGCATAGAAATAGGAATCACCTACAGTTTACTTTTACGATTCTTTCGATAGGCTTTAGCAATCGGTAGCGTCGAGGAGGAACGTGTGCGTTTTTCTTTTTTTATTTCTTTCTTTTTTTTTTTTTTTCTTTTTTAAATCGTCAACTCGAATCCTACATTGTACGTCAAATTTCTAATTTCTAATTTTCCATTGAGATCCATGTAAGTGGGTAAATATAGACAGGCGTGGTATATTTTACATACTTATTAACTTCACGTATATTTTCTAAAAAAAAAAGAAGAAAAGAAAAAAGAAGAAGAAGAAGGAATATCGACTGAAGCTACTGTTCATCGAGAGGACCAGAATTCTCTCTCTCTCTCTCTCTCTCTCTCTCTCTCTCGTGATTTTATCCTGTAGGCAGAAGAAGATTTCTTCTTCTCTCTCATAGTTGTTTGAAGTCTCTTCGTGGAACGTGGGCTGGGCACGAGGGCCTGGCGAGAGGGCTGGGTCGTTTCTTAAGAAGAAAAGAGAGAGAGAGAGAGAGAGAGAGAGAGAGTACATCGACGTAGAGTGGACACTCCCGGATCTCTCTACTCTTCTCCTCTCTCTCTCCTCTCTTCGTGAGGTGTCGTCACCGCTCGCTTCTCCGGGGCCGCGTGCTCTTCTCTCCGAATTACGTAACTCTTCGAGAGAGGGAGAGAGAGAGAGAGAGAGAGAGAGGGAGAGAGAGAGAAGAAGTAACACTCGCGTACGCACGTGGACGTGTTCGTGCGGTACCGCACCTTCCTCACGAATAACGTATAAACGAAGAAAAGAAGGAACGTAAACCGCGACGACTAGACATCTATGTACGATTCGCGCCATTCCAAATCAACGTTTAGCTGGACGCGACGCTGTAATTTTCTTCTTTTCAAGGCTTTTCTTTTCTCTTTCTTTCTTTCTCTCTTTCTCTTTCTTTCTCTTTATCTCTCTTTGTCTCTATCACGTTCAGAAACTTAGACTTTGTCTAAGTTATCTTAGAAAGTTACAATGACTGTGATCATCGTTGATATTGGAATAAGAAGAAAAGAAAGAGCAAGAATATAGATAGAAAGTAAAAACTTTTTTGAAGGAAGAAGAAGAAGAAGAAAAAAAGAAAAGAGAGAGAGAGAGAGAGAGAGAGAGAGAGAGAGAGAGAAAGAGAGAAAAAGTAAAAAAATAAAAAAATCTAATCTTTGAAAATAGGGTTATCTCTCTCTCTTTCTCTCTCTTTCTCTTTCTCTTTCTCTCTAATCAGCAAATTTATAGTAATAACGTTGTATCTCGTTAATGAGTAAAACTCGATGGAAATAGAGAAATTTGCAATAAACAATGACATTTGAAGAAACGAAATTAGTGTTTAGTCTTTTTATACTTAGTTATATACTATATGCATTCCGTTTTAGTCTTTCTCTCTCTCTCTCTCTCTCTCTCTCTCTCTTTCTACAGTCGCTTCACGGCTTTGAGTTTTACGTCTA